TCCCTTGTTAAAGATCTAAGCACTTTAAGATTTAATTCATCGTTTGTTAAAGTTTTACCAAGTGCCTTCAATTTGGTTTGTCAAGTGAACGAATCTCTTTTGCAAGTCAAGGATGAATTCTCCGGGCAACATTATGAATAATTCATATTCTTGACTCAAAGTGTTTAATCTAGACCTTTTTACTTCGGCGGTTCCTTCATGAGTTTCTACAAGAGTGTCCCAAATTTCCTTTGCCGTTGTACATGCCGATACTCGGAAAAATTCATCCATACTAAGATCACTTTGGAGAATATTGATTGCCTTTTTGTCAAAGAGAACTTTTTTCTTGTCATCGTCATCCCATGATGCTTTAGGCTTTGATGACCCAACACCATTGACAACACACACCGGAGTAAATGGACCATTCTCAACAGCATTCCATATTTCTTCTCCTTGCGCTTCAAGATGAGCCTTCATGCGAATTTTCTAAAAGTCGAAGTATTCACCACAAAACAATGGAGGCTTGTTGTTACTACCACCATCTTTGAAAACCGAATTTTGATTTGGATTTGCGGAAGCCATTCTGGATCTTTAGGAACAAGTTACCTATAACTTGCTCTGACGCCAATTGTAAGTCTCAGAGTGTCTAAGAGGGGGGGGGGGTGAATTAGGTCTTATAAAATTTATTCGGTTTTATGAGAATATTTGTAGAACTTTTTGGTTAAGTGTTTGAAGGTTTTGATTATATCTTTATCTTTTCCTGATTATGGTGATGAAAGCGATAAATGCGGAAAAGTAAAGAACACGGTGATATATCCTGGTTCCCCTCACAATCCGAGAGTACTCCAGTCCCCTTTCCAACACGAAATAGATTTCACTATAGTTAGAATGATTGTACAACCTATGTTTACTATCTAACCTATAGGGTGATCAAAGGTTCTTAACACCTTTAAGACTAAACAAACACTAATGTGAATGAAGAACAATCCTCTTCAAATCACAATACTTACTTCCAACAATCCTGGATAGTAAGGAAATAAATTCTTTAAGTAATACAATGATTGATTTGAAATATATGGAGAGCTTTATCAATCTTCAATTGATCTTCTTCTTCAAGATAAAAAACAATTCTCAAGCAATGTATATAAATGTTCACAATGTATGAAACTTGTAATGATTTAATGAAAGTGTATATGGCAAGTTTCACAAAGTTTTATGAACACATGAAAGTATGAATTCAAATGTGAATAAGAAAATTGTTTATTTGAAGAAGTATATTTGTTAATTTGAAAATTGAAGCATTCTTTTTTTTTTTTAAATAAGAAAATCTGCAGCATTTTATAAAGTCACAAGAACCTCTTCATTCATGCATATTCATATAAAAAGTTGCAATGCATTCATGAAAAGATACCACTTGAAAAATGTTCAAAAACCAAAAGAAAAGCTGCACTGGTTCGCTAGGAACCGGTTCCGACACTGACAGAACCCGGTTCTTAGTGAACGTTATAAGTCAGATTTCAAAAATATTACGCAGGAACCGGTTCCCCTATTGGTACAACCCGGTTCCTGGTACAAAAACCAGAGACATGTTTTTTGAGTAACTCTGGAACTCGGTTCCCTGTTAGGGAGGAATCGGTTCCTAAAGGGTTATTTTCAAAAATACTTTTTGAAAAATATTTCAAACAAAGTTTTTCTTGATGTTAAAATTATGGGATATGTATATGTTGATGAATACATATTTTTGTGAACATGTATAATCAAGATTAAGAATTATTTATACCATTTTGACATTTGATGATTCTTCAATAATTCTTCTATAATCTTCAAGACTTTTATATGATGTTGATAAGCTTTTTGCACATCCTTTGAATGTTGATATCCATGTTGTCTTCATCAAAACAAATGCTTTAAGTATGACTTGAGAAGCTTGCAATTACATTCTCCCCCTTTTTGATGATGACAACCAAGTCTTGAAAATGATTCTTGAATTGTTTATGTTGTTTTGAGTAGCAAATATTGTTGAGCAAATGCAAGGCTCCCCCTAAATTGTATGCTCCCCCTAAGTCCATGATTCCTTGAATTTTGGAGTGAGTATAATAGATATTTGGGCCTGCAATTTCTTTGAAAACAAAACAACACATATGCATATTTTTCTCCCCCTTTGTTAACATCAAAAAGGATGGGGAAAAAGAGTGAAACAAATACATTTTAAAAATTAAGATGATAAAAACATATAAAAGAAGGAGTAGAAGCAGAGTGTAGTAAAACATAAAAATTCTTGTCGAAGAATTAAGACGTGCACCTTATGAGAAACCTTTAGATATCACCTTCATCCAAAATACCAAGTTCTCTTCGGATTTTGAAGAAAGGTTCTCGAGCAAGCGGTTTTGTGAAGATATCTGCGAGTTGGTTATGAGTATCCACAAAAGTGACTTCGACATTTCCTTTAAGAACATGATCACGGAGAAAATGATGTCGAATATCTATATGTTTGGTTCTTGAATGCATGACCGGATTCTTTGTAATATTGATAGCACTTGTATTGTCGCATCGAAGAGGAATGCATCTGAGATCAAGTCCGTAATCACCGAGTTGTTGCTTGAGCCAAAGAATTTGTGCACAACAACTACCTGCTGCTATGTATTCTGCTTCGGCCGTGCTAAGAGCAACACATGCTTGCTTTTTACAAGCCCATGATACTAATGCATTTCCAATAATGTGACAAGTGCCACTTGTGCTTTTACGATCAGTTTTACAACCTGCATAATCCGCGTCAGAATAACCAATTAAAGTGCAAAAACTATCTTTCGAATACCATAAGCCGACATTGGTTGTTCCTTTTAGATACTTCATGATCCTTTTAACTGCCATGAGGTGTGATTTCTTTGGATTTGCTTGAAAGCGAGCACGAAGACAAACATTAAACATGATGTCAGGACGGCTTGCCGTCAAATACAATAAAGAGCCAATCATACCTCTATATTTTGTAATATCAATTGGAGTACCGGATTCATCTTGATCAACATATGTACCGGAGCCCATTGGAGTATTCATTGCTTTACAATATTCCATATCAAACTTTTTCAAAAGTTCTTTGCAATACTTAGATTGATTGATGAAGATTCCATCTTCTAGTTGCTTAATTTGTAGTCCAAGAAAGTAGTTCATCTTTTCCATCATAGACATCTCGAATTCTCCTTGCATCATCAATGAGAATTCCTCACACATTTCTTTGTTAGTCGATCCAAAAATGATATCATCAACATAGACTTGAACCAATAAAGTGTTACTTTGGATTTTCTTAATGAACAAAGTTTTATCAACCTTATCCTTTTCGAACCCCTTTTCACACAAAAAATTGCTAAGTCTATCATACCATGCTCTTGGTGCTTGCTTTAAGCCATAAAGAGCCTTTCTCAACTTAAAGACATGTGTAGGATGTTTGAAGTCTTCAAATCCCGGAGGTTGTTTGACATAGACTTCTTCATTGATGTATCCATTCAAGAATGCGCTTTTGACGTCCATTTGAAAAAGCTGAAAATTTAATGAACAAGCATAAGCAAGTAAAAGACGTATAGCTTCTAACCTTGCAACCGGAGCAAATGTTTCTTCAAAGTCGATTCCTCCCTCTTGATTGTAACCTTGGGCAACCAACCTTGCTTTGTTTCGAACAATTAGACCATTCTCATCAAGTTTGTTCTTAAACACCCATCGGGTACCTATGATGTGTTTACCACTTGGTCTAGGAACAAGCTCCCAAACTTGATTTCTCTCGAATTGATTTAATTCTTCTTGCATAGCAATAATCCATTGATCATCTCCTAAGGCTTCATCAACTTTGGTAGGTTCAATTTGAGAAACAAACGCCATGTTTAAGCAAGCATCTTTTAGATTCAATCTTGTTGATACTCCTTGGCTAATGTCACCAATAATTTTGTCAATAGGATGGTCTCTATGAGTTCTCCATTCTTTTGGTAGATCATTGATGTTTGAATCTTGTTGTACAGTGTTTTCTTGATTTTCCGGTGATTTCACAATTTGATCAATTGAAAGATCTTCTGGGAGTAAATCTATAGGATCATCATCATCACAAACAACTTCGTCAGATTTCTCGTCAAACTTACCGAGATTGTCTTTGTCATTGTTAAGAACAAAGCAGTTGCATCCAAAAATGTAAAAAAAAAAACAGCTTATGATATGTTGTAAGGTGTTTTCTGAATGTTTTTAAAGCTTCTTAAGATGACTTATGTTAACTGTGACTATAATTTATATGAAAATAAATATATATACTATACTTTATACTTTATAATGTTAAAACAGATTTCGAACAAAAAAAGTTAAAACAGATTTCTTGTTTCTTGACGCTGTTACAAATACTTTGCATAAAGACATGATATCAGGATCATTCTGCAGCAAAACTATAAAGTAAAAACTTTATCTTTTTTTTTGGAGAATGCAAAGACTTTATCTTTAACGTCACTTGAAGAGGTTAATCAATCACTATGCATATTTTTCTGTGACTTGCTAGGATTTGGACTTCACATCACAACATTGCTTGGGATAATGGGAACATTCACCTTCATGGTTCATCCTTTTTACGCCATGATCAGTTCCGTCTTTTTAGGATGGACAATTATGTAAACAAATCATTTTCAATCGACACGGACAGGTGACATCGATAATAATTTAAAAAAATAAATAAATCAACTATGCATCTGTGTCAGTCACCAGTCACACATTTGTTGAGAGGTGTCGGTTTTCAAGAGCTTGAAACATTCTATAAAGAGCGATTTTCAACAAAGAACAATCTGAATATCATAAACACTAGAAATATCTGTCATAACAAACTCGAAAGAACTGGTATATCATAATGTGATGCCTCAAATGAAATAAAACCAGCAATGAGACTAATGTGAAATCCACCTATGTATGTCTGATCATTACATATGTGTATAAATATGTAAATCATATAAATGTAAAACATTAGTTTTGCTTTTAAGAATATATATGAGAATAAAATTTTACATGTGAGGTCCGAGAGGCATGTGATTCATAATATCTTGATACATCGATGATGAACCGTTTTGCATGTTAAGGCTTCCGCGTTCAGGATTTGTGTCCATATTTGGTTCTCCCTTTGGTAACATGAAGCCCATTTCATTTGCGGCACGCTGTTGTTGTTGTTGCTGATGTTGTTGTTGCGCCATGAATGGATTCATAGGCATTCGTGAAGAGGGGCCTAAACCAGACATTGCAAGGTTGGAGAGGTGTTGATTCATGCCAAAGGAGAAGCCGTGCGGATGAGCTAGCTGCTGTCTTCCGTGAAAGTTGAATGAGCCGAGTGAAGGCCTTCCCATTCCGTTGTGAATTTGAGATGGTTCAGTTCTATGAGCATGGTTTTGAAGAAGACCAGAAGCTTGCCCTTGACCTGCATTAGAAGCGTTGTTCGCATTGACGTGACTGCTGGAACGAGCGGCGGGGACATCATGATTGTGCTTTCCCTCGTATGTGGTGATAACAGATTTAAGGTCATGCGATGCTCTCTCCACATGCTTCCTTACAGTGCACCCTGCATTGGTGCACTTGTAGTAACTCCTGCACCCCAAAACAGAAACACTCAGCTATCAACATAAACTAGTAGCAGCAATTGGTGTTGCATTGCAGATTTGGAGAGATTTTCGTGTTTTTTTATAGACAAGTAGCACCAACAACTCTGAAAAAAGGGGGTTAGGCTTTGGTGACTTTATGGAGGGAAAGTCACCATGACTTTCTCTCTATCTCTCTCCTAAGTCATTCTCTCTCATCTAAATTATTAATATTTTTTCATTTATTTATTCATAAAACAACTCAAATACACTAAAGTTATAACATAACTTTCCCACCATAAAGTCACCCAATCCAAACCTGAAAAAAGGAGTGTTTGTGTCAGTGTCCGAAACTGACATCGACACTTGTGATTATATTTAATTTGTTCATTTTTCCTAATTATTAGCAGTGTCGATATGTCAGTGTCGGTGTCGTGTTTGCAGTGTCTATGCTTCATAGACAAATGTTAGTATATTTGCTATGTCAGGAACCGATAAGTTGAGAATGATTACCTTGGGTTGGGATTTCCTTTGACAACTTTTTGCCCATATTTCCGCCATCGATAACCATCATCGAGGATATCTACTTCGCTGGTAGTCTGCACAACAACTCTAGGCTCGCGAATGGCTCTAGTAGCTCCACTCATCTCAGCATATGATTCAAGTTTCCTTGGAAAACAAGTTGTTGATTTTGAATATGTTAATATTTGTCATAAAAAAAAAGCAGCAACAATGACAAGTATGAAGTACCTTCTTTTCGACTCGGATTCATCTCCTTCCGCATCATAACCTAATGATACACTACCATGAGTGCCTTGATCGTCTTCCTCTTCTTCGTTAGAAAAAGTGGATGACCCATCCACGGCATCACCTGAATCTAAGTGAGTAATACCATTTTGAGTTTGCAGATTGGAGGAGTGGTTGCCGTACTCAGCAATAGCAGATGCAGCCGATGTTGCTTCAAGGTTTTCCGGCTTCCAGTTAGCTATATTTCCCTGTGCTTCAACATGTTCAGAATTGTCCACTTGCATGTCGGCATGAGGGTTAGCTGACCCTATGCCTGACCGACGACTTGGAGGAGGTTTCGGGTGGTTGTGTGCTCCCTTATAGATGATCTCTGTTATGTGGCCCTCGTGAGAACGTTCTACTTTCTTTTTAACCGGACAATTTGAATGGGTGCATTTGTAGTAACTTCGCGGGAACTCGCTACCCTTAACTTGCTTTTGACCGTATTTTCTCCAATTATATCCATCTTCCGACGGAGTACCACCAACACCAGCAACAATTGTGTCTCCGTTGACTCTTTGTTCTCCCTCTTCATCTGCTTGCTCTTCCATTGGTGCAGAATTGTCTTTTTGAGGTGGCGAGTCGGAGAATTCTGCCTTAAGATGGAGGCTACTTTTGTTCTCGGTCGCATCAACTTTTTGGGATTGAACCGAAGCTTCAAAACCATGAAGGGTTTGCTGTGGAAGTGTAGTTTGATTTATCTGCAAATTGAAAGAAGACTAAATAATAACCAAAAAAGAGAAGCTATACTTGTTTGGATAAGCATAAGCGCTCATGATATAAGTGTTTATGAATCAGCTATTTCTACAAATGTAAATAGAGATTTTCAGAATGTGCTTACTTTTCTACCAGCGCCGTGATAAAAAGAGGGTCCTGAATCGGGTGTAGGCTTGAAAGCAAAGGATGACGCGTACATGTCACCAAAGCCATTAAGTTTAGATTTTTGCTGATCATCAGAAGATAATTCTGTGCCGCGGATGTTTCCGTTTGAGACAAATGGAAACTTTCCTGTTGTTGGAGATGGTTGTGCCTGAAATTAGACAGATTCATATCTCAATAAGAGAAAAAACAATTTCAATAGAATCATGTCGCAACTCGTTCAACGGATGGTTAATGATTATAACCAGGTGTCGCAACTCGTTCAACGGATGGTTCATGATTATACAAGAACTCACCAATGAATTCGCAAGGAAAACAGGAGAATCCAAAAGTGTAGTAGGACTAAGACCAGGCGGTATAGTCAAATACGGAGACTGAATCTCAGAATTGAGCGAAAGTTCAGTAGATCTAATGCTTTCTGTATTCAACCTCGGCGCATTAAACCCGGTTCTAGCAGCAATTCTTTCAACAAGACCCCCTCGCGAGTTCAACTTATGATCATTTCGATAACTAGCATCGCTCAATTGAGTGCCCGAATCACCATCTTGCGCCTCAATTCTACCACTCTCAGATTGTTCAGAGATTTGTCTCGTTACATTATCACTCTCTTCATCTAGCATCCTAGAAAATAGGGTTCTCGGACTCGGATTCGGAAGACCCCATTCACCATTAAGCCCAACATTTTCATCAATCCCAGCCATTCAAACCTCACTTTATCAAACACCTAACCTGAAAATTTCAATTTTTTTGAAGAAAACAAAATCATCATCAACAACAAAATAAAAAAATATTAAAAAAAAAACAACCTCAACAAAACGCTAAAATGAATCCTAGGACAATGTTTTTCCTTTCAACCTTAAAAAATTCAAAATTTTATAACCCCCATTTCTCAACAATTTCCCAAAATTATCAACTTTACACAAAAAAAAAAAAAAACAGGAACATAAATCAAAACAAAAAAAAACACAACAAACAACATTGTAAAAAAATTCTTAAAAATCATGAAACAAAAATGCTACAAAAAACCAAAATCAAAGATGAAAATCGAATGAGCTTACCTAGAAAACAATGAATTGTAAAGATGAGATTTTTAACAGAAAAATCAGACAAGGGAGCTCAACCACCACTGGAAATGATTAGAACAAGAGAATCGGATCCGAGAAACCCGAACCCGACCCAAAAGTTTATCTGGGTCTCTCTTCTTTGTTGTTAATCTTGAGAGTAAATGGAATGATTCATCTTTTTTTTTCTCTCTTGGCTTTGTGTTTTGTTTTTGTTGTAAGAATGAATGAATAATGTTTTGTTTTTGTTTCTGTTGGATGAAGGAGAAAATGAAGAATGAAGGAGAATAGATACAAAAAGAAATGGTTTTTTTATTTATTTATTTATTAATAATTTCTTTTTTACTAAAATTATTATTTATTTTTAATAAAATAATATTATTTAAATTTTTTTAAAAAAATATATATTGATTGAGACATTTTTTAACAATGATAAGTGAAATATTGCATATTCGAATGAATATCTTATATAAGAGTTTTTATACCGCTAACAACTTACCTATCTTAACCAACAATAATATTGTATTAAAGATGGTATTCTTAATTAATGAAAAACAATAAATATTGCATTAATAAATTATTACTACTATTATTAAAGCAAAAGGAAGGAAGGAGATTGTGGGGAAGGTGAAAGAGAAAAGAGAATTGATTGTGAAATGGTGGTGGACCTCAAATATCAAAGGAATCTTTCACATATACATGAAAACATAACTTCACATCTTCTTTATATTATATCCATTAATCTTTTCTTACACACAATTTTATTCTTTTTTATTTTTTTGTTTGGATTAATAAATTTATAGAAACATCAAAACTATTTGAGTTCGCAACTAGACAATATCTATATAGTCTATACTTGATCTCGAGTTTCTTGCATAAAAATTGATTTTAAATATATAAAATTGATTTTAATATATTTAATTATTCTCTAATATAATTAATTTTATCTTTAAAAATAATGATTTATTGATTTTAATTTTGAATATTATATTGAAATTTATTATTCAATACTTTATATATAGTTTATTCAAACACAAATTATTTTTATATTGAAGTATTCAACTAATCTTTAAGTAAAGTAATTTTAAAAAATTAGTTAGTTGAAAATTAATTTTTTACTATTACTAAACATATATACATAATCTTTAATAAATACAAATTTTACAAATTTTAATACTAAAGTTTGACCAAATTATGTTTTTATCTATTAATTTGAATGATATTAAATTGACATTTTTCATTTTTCAATAAAATAAATTTATAAAGCCAATCAAATTAGATCTAATGAAAGATATTATCTTTTATAGGGTCCTTTATTTCAATTTTTCTAAGAAAATGATTTCTATAGTGTTATTTATTTTAATTTTAAAAAATTTATAATTTTTTAGGTATTTTATCCTTTTATAACAATTTTTTGGATATTAAAATTTAAAAAAACACTTAAGTTTTAAACTATTTTGAATAGTTTTTTATAAAAAAATATTTTTAATATATATATTTTTGAAAAATATGGAATTTTAATTATATTTTAATTTTCGATGATGTATATTTATGTTACTGAATATTAAAATAAATCTTTTCATTCAAAAAATAAGTTAATTTTTTTTAATATTTTAACAAAATTGTAAAAATAATATTTTAAATATTAAAAAAATCTACTTTTTTTAATCTAATACAAATCAATTTCTTATGCAAGAAATCAAATGTCTCATTTTAATATAAATAAATGTTTATTTTTAATGTTTGATAGTATTTGAAATACTATCAAACAAGCTTAAGAGAATTTTGGAATTATTTTTTTAGAACTAATTTAAATTTAGATTCTTGATTACAACACTATTGTATTTTTGTTTTGACTTGACAAGAGATAAAAAATTCTGTTTTTTATATTTTAGATTAGTAGGATAGATTTTATTTTCACTATTTAAAAATGATTGTGATTTGTTAATGTTTTGTTTGGATTCCAAAATTAGGAGTTGGTACCCATTTTTGTCACTTAGTGTAACAATCACAGCTGGCCTTGAAGTCATAAGTTGTATGAAATGAGTAACCGTGTGATTGGATATCATCAATATAAGTTGACCAAAATCTTATGCCATTTACTCTCTTCTACTTTATTCTTCTAAACTTTTTTACCTTAAATATAAATAAATATCTACAAATCTAAATTTATTTTAATGTTTATATTATAAAATTATTTTTGTATTCATTAGTTAGTATTGTAAATGAGTGACAATTTAATTGAGAATAAATAATAATTATATTATCTCCTTTACAGATGATTAAAATAAATAAATACACTCAATTATTTTTTTAATAAATATGAAATTTATTTTTTTATTTATAAATAAGGTCGGAGTAATATTTATTATTGCTTCCGATTTAAAATAAAATGAATGTTATTTTAATAAATAAAATTTATTTTAAAATAAAATTTATTTTAAAATAAAATTATCTCATTTTATAATATGGATAAAAAAACATTGATATAAAAAATTGATTTATTTCACACAATTTAAGAAAAATAATAATAATTTCACTAAATAAAATTTATTATATATCAATATATTTATTATTCTATTTGATTTTTAATAAAACCCCGTTCACACAAATTAAGAAAAATACATAGAAAAAGAAAAAAAAAATTTACTAAAGTGTTTGTATATTATTTTCCATAAATATAAAAGTGAAAGATATTAAATCGGAGGAAATGATGTGAGTAACGTTAATTAAATAATATATTTAAAAAAGAATGTTATATTTAAAATTGAAACCAATAAATTATTTTGAGCTCATTTTTTCTCACAAATAGATCGATTATTTTGAAACATAGGCATATAGATGAAGAAAAATATTAATTTGAAAATGTAGTACATAATATTTTCTGATTTAAATTGTAAAATATTTATCCTAAATTACATGTCATTTTACCACATTAATGGATTACTAGTGATTTCTTTTTCTTTTATTCACTTCACAATTCTATCATTTTCTAATTTATTTTTTTAATTTATTTTTCCTATACGTTAATAAATAATATTTTTGTAAAATAATTCACAATCTTTCATTTTTTATACAACAATAATTACATTCTTTCCTTCCTTATGTTGAATTATATTAAAATAATGTTTAATTTGGAACAAAAGAAGTATTAAATAGAGGTGCTATTGTAAAAAAAAAATCACTTTCTTTCACAATATGTGATACATTTACACTATACTTATAATTTTTAAAGTAATGTTAATTTTTTTAATTGAATATCTAATTAGTATATATTTTTTTTGTGTGGAAAAACTCTAAATATTTCTCTCAATTTAATATCTTTAATTTTGTATTAATGATATTGTTACTTAAAAAAAGTATCATTTTCTTTTTCATTTATATATTGTTATTATCCTTTATAAAATTATCAAATAAATAACTCATTGTAATATAAGTAAGTAATTAGTAGTAATACATTGAAAATGAGTTCATTTTAGAATTTAATGAACATGAGTATTGTTTGTAGTAAGCTATGATTAGCTCTGGAAATGGATCCAAAAATACAGTACAAAAATTAAGGAGAGAAATCAGAATATTTCTAGCTGCCAAACACTTGGAATCCTAAAATGGCAAGTGCAGATTGTTTGTGACCACCAATTAATATTCCATTTTCCATCTAATCATAGCATCCAATACAATTAGTTATTCACTCACTGGTGCCCACATGTCTTTAATTTGAGTGTAAATTTGATTCAAAGCTAGCTGCCAATATGTTGAGGCATTTCTAATCCAAGTATTCTTAAGTTGTTATAACATGCTCTTTTTATGGAGAAAAAAACATGTGCTAGTTATTTTAAGTCAATTTTAACATTTTTTATTTTAGTTTTTATTTTTTTTCTTAAATCATAACCATTTTTTATTTTGAATTTTTTAAAAAAACTAAAATCAATGTTTTTAAATAAATATTATGAATGTATAATAGAAAGTGATATATTTAAAATTAAAATTATAAAATATGATTTTAATATAAAAGGGTTCCAAAATTATTTAAAATATAAAATTGATTCACAAATTAAAACTAACTTAAAACTAATTTATGAATAAAAATTGTTTTTTAACCAATTTTAAATAGAATTAAAAATATTTTAATACTGAATTAGAATAATTTTGTTTAAGCTTCAAAGAGGTTGGTCCATAGAACTCTCGACCCAAGAGTAATACGAGAGAAGAGGGCGCAAAGGAGCGGTCTCACACATTGAACATGTGAGGTCATTGAATTCGACCTAATCTACTTGGGGCATTAATCACCGAGTCTAGTCCAGTGTACTTCAATATCAAACACATAAAGACGTGTCAAGCCACGTGTGGGAAAATAATTACAAGATTCAATCAACTAAGAGGGCAACTGCATTCTCTATTAAGGGAGACAATTGATTCCTTCTCACCCCCGACCTGGTCGAGTGGTTAGGTTTGGGGACCAACACTTTAACAACAACTTGAAATCTATAAATGCCTCAGTCTTATGGTTGAGAGAAATCACACAATCAAAATCTATTGTGCTCCATAACACAAGTAGGGTATACATTAACTCTCAATTTTATAAAACTGACGCGTAATGTGTAAAAAGGTCATGGCGTTCGATCCGCATGGAGATCCTT